TTAGATTACAAATCAGCTGCATTCCAAAAGACACAGTTTTTTTTGGAGATTCTACATTTACTGGGATTCTAGTTACTATTGCTGCCCAGTAAAATCAGTATTAAAGCCATTACTTCATTAATGTTATATTAATTGGGAGAATGGTCTTCATTTTAGGTGATGATATAGCACTATGAACAAAAATAAACTACTTCAATGATGAATGATTGTGCCTGTGTTTGACAAACACTATTTTGATATTGACAGATGTGGTGTTCCATATCAGCAGGATTAGAGTATACATAGGCCTTACTGGTTTTACAATTGAAGACAATTCAGAACCTTGTCATTATACTGCATAGTTTGTAAAGGTTCATAACTGTTGTCATGCAGCAGCACTCAAAGCAACTAAACTCTGAGGTTTATGATGAAATCTGTTGGTTCAAAGCTTGTACTTTTTCAAGTGAGATCCAAATTGAAAAGGGAAAGAAAGAAACTGACCCTTCTACTTTTTAAGGAAACTAGGACTGAAACTGAGATTGGAGATGAATACTAGTGGAGAACATATAGAAGACAGAGCCAGTAGATCTTGATCCTGGTGGTGCAGTACAACATTCAGAAGTTGAAAATAAGAAACATATAATTGCTACAGCTGTTGCTGTTAACTTGAAAATCACATTGATGGATCTATGCCAACCAGACCATCATAAGCAGAGTTGAGGTGGTCTGCAAGCATGTGCCAGTTCCGCATTTGCAAAACATTTCAACTGTAAAGGTATGGTAAATATTACAGAACAAGCTGTTTCTAAAGACTGCTGACATTCCACAAGAGGTAGACAAAGTATATAGAGCAAGGTGGTTACTTAGCTCAGCTGGGTGCATGGCTGGTTTGCAATGCAGAGTGATGTCAACAGTGTAGGTTTAATTCCTCCACCAGCTGAGGTTACCATGAAGGACTCTTCTCAACACTTCTCTTCCCTGAGGTGTGGTGACACTCGAGTTAAACTCACCCCCAAGAGATTTTTTTTTACTCATTGTGGGACATGGCATTGCTAGCTGGCCAACATTTATTGCCTGCCCCTAGCTGCCCTTGAGAAGGTGGTGGTGAGCTGCCTTCTTGAACCGTTGCAGTCGACCTGCTGAAGGTAGACCCATAATGTTCTTTGGGAGGGAATTCCAGGATTGTGACCCACCAGCAGTGACGTATTTCCAAATTAGGATGGTAAGTTGTTTGGAGGGGAACTTGCAGGTGATGGTGTTCCATATATCTGCTGCTCTTATCCTTGATATGGAGGTCCCAGTGTTGGACTGGGCTGGACAAGGTCAGAAATCACATGACACCGGTTACAGTCCAACAGATTTATTTGAAAATACAAGCTTTTTGAGCCTCGCTCCTTCTTCAGGTGTTAGTGAGAGAGGTGGCATCAGACACAGAATTTACAAGTAAAATATCAAAGGGTCACACAACTGATGAGGATGTATTAAACAAACCGAAGATGCTGTTAAATCTTTAATCAGTTAGGTTTTAATTTATTAATATTGTCTGACCTAAAATGTCACCACCTCTTTACACTATTAAAACCTTTAGTTCTCTCAGGGCAATGACTTGTAAGAAATTTGGGGATTTATATATACATATGAATCAATTTAAACTTCTAACTGATTAAAGATTTAACACCATCTTAAGTTTGTTTAATACATCCTCATCAGTTGTGTGACCCTTTGATCTTTTCAAATAAACCGAGATGAAAAAAACTGCAGATGCTGGAATCCAAGGTAAACAAACGGGAGGCTGGAAGAACACAGCAAGCCAGATAGTGACTGGTGGAAAGGAGCAGTCAACTTTTTGGGTATTACTCTTCTTTAGGACTGGATGTGGGGGTTGGGGGAGCTGCAGATAAAGGGGAGGGGTTGTAGCGGAATGGTGGTGATAGGTGGATACTGGTAGTAGGTACAATCAGGTTGGTTGATGGGAGGGTTGAATCCGGTTTGTGGCTGGAAGGGAGGGTCAGAAGGTAGAATTGAAGGGAGGAGGTGGGGCTGGAAAGGAAACCGGGGGATGGGTGGGAAGCTTATTTGAAATTGGAGAACTCAATGTTGAGTCCTCCGGGCTGTAGGGTGCCCAGGCAAAAGATACTGCGACACTGGAGGAGGCCGAGATCGGACATGTCGGAGGGGGAGTGGGGCAGGGAGTTGAAATGGGCAGTAACCGGGAGGTTAGGTTGGCTATTACGGACCAGGCAAAGATGCTCAGCGAAATGGTCACCTAGTCTACGTTTGGTCTCACCGATGTAGAGAAGACCACATCAGGAGCACTTGATGCAATAGACGAGGGTGGAGGAGATACAGGTGAAACTCTGTCTCACTTAGAAGGACTGTTTAGGGCCCTGGATGGAGGTGAGGGAGGTGATGTGTGGGCAGATGTTGCATCTTTTACAGTTACAGGGCAAGGGACTGGGTGGGTTGGAGTGGTGGGTGAGGAGTGTGGCATGAACTAAAGAGTGGCAAAAGGAATGGTCCTTGCAAAAGGCAGAGCGAGGTGAGGAGTGGAAGATGTTCTGGGTGGTGGGGTCTAATTGGAGTTGGCAGAAGTGTTTGAGGATGATACATTGAATTCGGAGACTGGTGGGATGGCAAGTGAGGAGTACACACTGCTGCTACTGAGCATAGAGGGAATGGATGTTTGTGGATGTGGTGCCAATGAAGCAGGCTATTTTGCCGTCAGTGGTTAAGCTTCTCGAGTGTTGTTGGAGCTGCACCCATCCAGACAAGTGGGGAGCATTCCATCAGACTTCTGACTTCTGCCTTGTAGATGGTAGAAAGGCTTTGGGGAGTCAGGAGGTGAATTTCTCAATGCAGTATTCCGAGCTTCTGAACTGCTGTTGTAGCAAATGTGTTTGTGATGAGTTCAGTTGAGTTTCTGGTCAATGGCAACCCCAAGGATGTTGATAAAATGGAGGTTTCAGTGACGTTAACACCATTGAATGTCAAGGGGCGTTTGTTAGACTGCCTGACAAATGGCAAGTAACATTTGTGCCACACATGTCAGGTGATGACCATCTCCAATAAGAGACAGAGTCTGGATATTGACCAGATCTTATTGCATTTGAAAGTGTATTTGAGGAGTCGCGAATGGTGCTGAACATTGTGCAATCATCAGCAAACATGTCCACTTCTGACCTTATGATGGAAGGAGCATCATTGATAAAGCAGCTGAAGATGGTTGGGTTTAGGACACTGTCCTGGAGTTGAGATAACTGCCCTCCAACAACCACAACCATTGTTCTACATCCCAGATACAACTCCAGCCAGTGGAGAGTTTGCTTCTGATACCCATTGATTCCAGTTTTACTAGGGCACCTGGATGCCACACTGTATCGGATGCAGCCTTGATGTCGAGGGTTGTCGCTCTCCCCTTGCCTCTGGAATTCAGCCCTTTTGTCCATGTTTGAAGCAAAGCTGTAATGAGGTCAGGAGCTGAGTGGCCCTGGTGGAACCCAAACTGGGCGCCACTGAGCAGGTTATTGATGAGCAGGCGCTGCTTGATAACACTGCTGATGACACTCTCCGTAACTTTTCAGACCCCCAGTCTAGTAGCTACGTCCTTTAGGACCCAGCCGGCTCAATCAGTGGTGCTGATGTCAAGCCACTTTTGGTGGTAGATATTTGAAACACAATTTGTGCCCTTGCTGCCCTCTGTGCTTCCTCTAAGTGTTGTTCAACATGGACAAGTACTGACTTATCAGATAGGGAGGCTGGTAAATGGTAATCAGGAGGTTTCTTTGCCCATGTTTAACCTGAAGCCATGAGACTGCATGGAGTCCAGAGTTAATGTTGAGGACTCCCAAGGCAACTCCCTCCCGACTATACCACTGTGCCACCACTTCAACTGGTTCTGTCCTGCTGGATAGTTCAGGATATACCCAGGGATGGTGATGCCAGTGTCTGGAACATTGTCTGTAAGGTATGATTCAGTGAGTGTGACATTGTTAGGTTGCTGCTTGACTAGTATGTGAAGAACACTCCTGATTTTGGCAGCGGCCCCCAGATGTTAGTAAGGAGGACTTTGCAGGGAGGGAAACCTGACATCCTCACCTGGTCTGGCCTAAATTTGCCTCTAGACCACAGCAATGTTGACTCTCAACTGCCCTCTGAAATGACCTTGCAAACTATTCAGTTGATTCATTCGCTACAAAGTCTCAACAAAGAAATAAAACTTTGGAAGGATTACCCGGCATTGACCTAGGCATCGGCAAAGACAACAGCAGAAACAGCCCTATTAACCCTGCAGAATCCTCCTTACTAATGTCTGGGAGCTACTGCCAAAATCAGGAGAGTTCTTCACATACTAGTCAAGTAGCAACCTAACATTGTCACACTTACTGAATCATACCTTACAGACAATGTCCCAGATGCTGGCATCACCGTCTCTGGGTATATCCTGAACCATTGGACAGGACAGTACCAGCTGAAGTGGTGGCGCAGTGGTACAGTCAGGAGGGAGTTGCCCTGGGAGTCCTCAACATTAACTCCAGACCCATCGCTGAAGGACACTAGTAAGTTTAATGGGTTTTTCCGACAATCAACAGTGATTTCATGGCTATCAGCAGATTCTTAATTCCAGACTTTTTTTTTTAATGAATTCAAATTCCATCACTTGTTGTGACGAGATTTGTACTGGGCCCTTGGAACATTAGCTGAGTTTGTGGGTTTGTTGTGCACAGTTCAATAGAGAATGGTACGTATATTTCTCCATTAAAAATCAGTAAAGATAAATATACAATAATTATACCAAATATAAAATAATTACTGTTTTATAAACATACCACTACCCTCAAGAATATTTCTTGCTGAATTCTAAAATGAATTGATAAAATTGGCCAACAAAATTAAATTATCTATGCCAGATTTGCATCAATTCTTTTTCCATCCAGTGATCACAATGGTACATCTTTTAGAAGTCCCATTTAGTGTGTATAGCACAGTATCTAACCAATTTATCGTTTTTTAAAAATCTGTAGCGTCATCAATCCTGAAAAGGGAGAAGCGGATGAGGACAAAGAATGTTCGCTTTGATTATGTGACTGTCTATTACTTCACACGGCGACAAGGCTTCACTAGTGTCCCCAGCCAGGGTGGCAGCACACTGGGTATGTCCAATCGGCACAAATGTGTACGCCAGTACACGCTTGGAGAATTTGCCTTGGAGCAAGAGAGAGTCCATGGAGAGATGCTGAAAGAGCATCTGAAAGAGGAAAAGCTCAACTCACTGAAATTGAAGGTAAATAAATTCTTTGTTTCCCTTACTCTAAACCATTTACGATTCACAGTGGTGAATATCATCTTCAGGCTACACTTTGTGGAAGTTATATTTTTAAAACTTCAAAGTATTACTTGTAAATTTGACCACAGGTAGATTCTTGATTAATTTCAATTTTCATCCCAGTTAGTAATGGTAACCCCATAAGCCCTGAAAATCATTGACTGGGGAAAGTTCTAAGTCAGCTATTGCAAATATGTACGACAGGAATGCCTGAGGGGGTTGATGTATGTGGTGTTCCACTGAGTAACTCCCTGATGCAAATTATATTAAGTTGGAAGATACAAATAAAATTTCTGTCAGAATTTATGGTGCTGAAATGGGAGAAGCTCAGGAAATTTCTCGTGATGGTTTTTGCCGCAACCATTAGCTTCTGAAGTTAATTCCTTGGCCTCACATCCTGGCCATTAATTCCGATTCCTTGAATTACTCAAAACAAATTAATCGCAAAAGCTCCAGTATTTTCTAAATTCACATTTAATTTGCAGTGTGGAGCCTTACTACTTGAGTATGTATTTACAAAACTCAAGGATTAATTTATATGGCCTGAACAGTCATTTTTATACATCTCAAAATATTCTTTCTTTTGCTGACTCCAATGAGGTCAACAAACTAGTTACAACCATGCAAATCGTTCCTTCCAGATCCCTTATATTGGTGCATGTGATGGCTTCTTCCCTTGTAGTCTGAAAACAGCATCTCTATGTTCTCTAAAATGAAATTGCAGCATGTTCATATCAGTCCCTGGAAACTACTTGCTTCTGCATGCCTTGAATTCCAAGGTTCTTCCAAGAGATTCTTCAAACATTTTAAACCCTTGTATGAGACCTCTAGTGGATTAAACTTACACTTTTTTTATTCTGCTAGTGTTATTGAAATTAGTTGGCCTTAGGATTTCTGAATGGAAAGATGTTTTTAGATATAGTGGACATAAATCCCATGGATCAGTAATTACGTTGCATCATTGGGGATGAATGAATTTCTGTGCTATGGTTTTTAAAAGTCATTTATTTAGGTTGTTTTGGGTTCAATATATACATTTAATTTGGCACAATGTATCCAATAGGAACGCCATCAGGCTGGGCAATTGATTTAATCTTAAACAGCAATTTGAACATTTAAATGTGCTAATTTTCTAGCTTAGATGTTCACTGCCTTTACGAACAGTATTTTTTGAACAGAAAAATAAGAGTCAGTTTATATTCAAGTGACAAGATTTTTGACTTGACTTTTGATATTATTCGTGTGATGTGTGTTAGAAGTAATGGAAAGAGGGTTGCCAAATGTTTTATTTTCATGAAGATAGTAAAGTTTCTTTAAAAAAAAAGATAGTGGAGATTTAGGCCCCAATTTTCATGGAGCTATGTAGAATTTGAGGACCTTTAAAAATGGGGGAATGGTGTTCTCAGATTTATAGCTCAAACAGGTTATTAAAGGATTAGTCATAGAAACATAGAAAATAGGAGCAGGAGTAAGCTATTAGGCAGCAGAAGCCCACACTGCTAATCAATATGATCGTAGTTAGTCATCCAACACAGTACTGTGTTCCCACTTACTCCACATGGCTCTTTGATCCCTTTAGCTCTAAGAACTCTATCTAATTTCTCCTTGAAAACATTGAATGCTTTGGCCTCGGTGTTTTTCTGTGGCAGAGAATTCGCTCTTTGGCTGAAGAAATTTCTCTTTCTTTCAGTCCTAATTGACCTGTCTTGTATCCTTGGATTGTGACTCCACATTCTAGACCCACTGGTCATTGGGAACATTGTGTGTTTACCCTGTAGATAGTTGACATGAGGTTATAAATGCAAATTGGTTATTATAAGAGATTGAGTGAGTGTTTGAGGCAATTTAAAAGTTTTCATGTTTTCTTCTAAAAATATAGTAAAAGTTCTAAAATATATTTTGACATTTATTTTACTCCATCTCAACATGGCTCCTGATACCCGATTTTGCTGGATACTGGATGATTTGGCAAGGAGGCTGTTAAGTGCAAAGGGTGGAGGATGGGAGAAGAATAGTTTGGCACGTGTTAACTTTAGGTGAGCATGTGGCTATGAAGGTGAAAGGGGAAATGGTTGGGCTGATGAGACGAGAGGGATGTGAATCAGAAGTTAAGAAGGCCAAAACTTTAGGTCTAAAGAAAATCCATGCCTTAGAGTTTGATTAATGTAAATTCTGGAACTGGGGGAAGGAGGTTTTCCATTCAGAGGACTCTCTATAAGAGAGAATTGACCATTTTCTCCTAAAATTGCAATTGCTTCATTGACAGCAAAAAATGGAAAAGGGAAGAATTAAGTTGGCCCTGTGCAGCATTCTGGCTTCTGGTCACCTCATTGTAGGAAACATGTGGAAGCTTTAGAGAGGGTGCAGAGGAGATTTACCAGGATGCTGCCTTGCCTGGAGGGCAGGTCTTATGAGGAAAGGTTGAGGGAGCTAGGGCTTTTTTCATTGGAGTGAAGAAAGATGAGAGGTGACTTGATAGAGGTGTACAAGGTGATGAGAGGCATGGAGTGGATAGTCAGAGACTTTTTCCCAGGGCGGAAATGACTATTACAAGGGGGCATAATTTTAAGGTGATTGGAGGAAGGTATAGGGGAAATGTCAGAGGTAGGTTCTTCACACAGAGAGTGATGGGTGTGTGGAATGCGCTGCCGGCAGTGGTAGTGGAGTCAGATAATTTAGAGACTTTTAAGCGACTCTTGGATAGGCACATGGAGGATAGTAAAATGTAGGGTATGCAGGGTAGATTGATCTTAGTAGGATAATAGGTCGGCACAACATCGTGGGCTGAAGGGCCTGTACTGTGCTGTACTGTTCTATGTTCTATGTTCAGGCTCATACTACTCCATTAGTCGCACAAATTGGAGCTACTTGAAGCTTCCATGCAGCCTTGTTGCTACACATTCTTGTCTATGTATCAGACCTAAACCCAAGGGTGGTTGGTAACACTTCTAGGGCCTGAGCAGATGGAGTTCCACTCTGTCACACCTGTGCCATTGGATTGGCACCCTAGGCGTTTATAAATCAGAAATGGAGCTTGGGCTTGGGTGGAAGTGTGTGGTCAATTTGACTTTAAGCAATGGAGCAAAATGCTGAAATATCAGATTAGCTGTGCATTATACACCTCTCCCAATTTAATTGCTTCCATTGAATTGTGTAGAAATAAGATTCAGAAGTTATGTATAAATGGGAGCTTGCTGGATTGTCCCAAAGTCAGAATTATACCTAATGTGTGCTTTTTTAATCTATATTGTATGTACAATTTATCTGAAATTATTAATCTGAAAGATTAAGAAACAAGGGGTTTCCACTTTAATGATACAAATAACTTTAACCAAAATAACTCAGTAATTAAGGACAAACAAAACCTATTGAATGAGTATGGTAGTCAAATGATTATAGTTCTGGATCAGCAACCCAAAAACACATTGCTTTTTCTCTATTCATTCATGGATGTGGCCATCGCTGGCATTTATTGCTCATCCCCAAAAGCCCTTGAAACGTGGTGGTGTGCTGTCTTCTTGAACCGTTGCATTCCACGTGCTGTCAGTTCAGTTTCTCAGTGTTGTTAGGGAGGGAATAAATTGTGAACTGAATTTGGCAAACTTCATAAATTAGCACATCAACACCAGAAGAGATAGCCATAAAGGCTATGAAATGTAACTAGATGACTGATGTCTTTCTTTGTTTAAATGTTAAAATGAGTTCAGCAAGTTCTAAATTAGGTACATTTTTCTACATTGAATTGAAAAGAAAACAGATTCGACTCTCAGTAGGGTTCCTAACTGTTATCCTTTCTATACAGACAGTTAACTAATCACAGCACTCTGGTGAAAGTAAAATTAATTTGCATTGATCTGACTGCAGTATCATATCATATGCAGACTTCAAACATATCTAACAACTCAAAACTGGGCATCTATAAGGTGCTGTAGGGCATCAGCAGCAGAACCGTGCGCCAACTTTATGTACAGCCTCATGACCCAGCATATCCTCCACTCCCATCATGTGACAGGATCGACCCTGGTTCAATGGAGGGTGCAAGAAGGCATGCCAGGAGCACCAGCAGGCATACCTAACAATAAAGTGTCAACTCAGTGAAATTGGAAAACAGGACTGCTTGTATTCCAAATAGCATAAGCAGAAATGATGGACAGAGCTAAGGGAGTCCACAACCAATGGATCAGGTCTAAACTCGTGGACCTGCAACATCCAGTTGTGAATGGTGGTGGACAGTTAACTCACTGAAGGAGGAGGCAGCTCCACAAATATCCCCATCCTCAATGACGTACAAGACCAACACATCAGTGGAAAAGATGAGGCTGAAGGATTCACAGCAATCTTCAGCCAGAAGTGCTGAATGGATAATCCATCTCGGCTAATCCAGTGGACCCCAGCATCACAGATGTCAGTCTTCAGATAACTTGATTCAGTCCAAGTGATATCAAGAAGAAGTTGAAGACACTGGATACTGCAAAGGCTACGGGCCCTGACAACATTCCGGCAATAGTACTGAAGACTTGTGTTCCAGGATTTGCCGCTCCCCTCGCTAAGCTGTTCCAGTACAGTTACAACACTGACATATACCTGACAATGTGGAAATTGCCCAGGTATGCCCTGTACATTACAAACAGGACAAATCCGACCCAGCCAATAACCACTCCATCAGTCTACTCTCGATCATCAGTAAAGTGATGGAAGGTGTCATCAATAGCACTATCAAGCAGCATCTGCTCAGTGACGCCCAGTTTGGGTTCCACCAGGGCCACTCAGCTCCTGACCTCATTACAGCCTTGGTTCAAACATGGACAAAAGAGGTGAGATGAGAATGACAGCCTTCAACATCGAAGCTGCATTTAAACGACTGGCATTAAGGAGCCCTAGCAAACCTGGAGTCAGTGGGAATTGGAGGAAAATTCTCTGATATCTGGAGTCATACCTGGCACATAGGAAGATAATTGTGGCTGTTGGAAGTCAGTCATCTCGGCTCCAGGACATCTCTGTAGGGGTTCCTCAAGGTAGTGTCCCACGCCCAACCATCTTCTGCTGCATCATCAATGACCTTCCCTCCACCATAAGGTCAGAAGTGAGGATGTTCACCGATGACTGCACAATGTTCAGCAAAATTTGTGAATCCTCGGACACTAAAGCAGTCCATGTTCAAATGCAATAAGATCTGGGCAATATCCAGGCTTGGCTGACAAGTGGCAAGGAACATTCATGTCACAAAAATGCCAGGCAATCTAGCCATCACCCCTTGACTTTCAATGGTGTTACCATCACCGAGTCTCCCACTATCAACGCCCTGGGAGTTGCCATTGACCAGACACTGAACTGTATTTGCTGTATAAATACAGTGGTTACAAGAGCAGGTTAGAGGTTGGGAATACTGTACCAAGTAACTCACCTCCTGACTCTGAAAGTCTGCCCACCATTTAGAATGCACAAATGAGAAGTGTGCTAGAATACTCCCCACTTGCCTGGATGAGTGCATATTCAACAACACAAGAAGTTTGACACCAGTCAGTAAACAGCATCTTGCTTGAGTGGCACCACATCCATAAACAAATCACTCCACCACCAATGCTCCGTAGCAGCAGTATGTGTCATATATAAGATGCACTGCAGAAATTTACCCAGGCTCCTTATAGAGCACCTTCCAAACTCTCAACCACTTCAATCTCGAAGGACAAGGGCAGCAAATACATGAAAATGTCAAAGCCTCTAAGTTTTCCTCCAAGCCACTCCCAGTCCAGACTTTAGTAATATTAATCCTGGAATTCCCTCTCCAATGGCAGGTGGACTGCAGCGGTTAAAGAAGGAAGCTCACTATCACCTTCTCAAGGGCAATTAGGGATGGGCAAGAAATGCTGGCCAGCCAATGATGCCAACATCCACAAGTGAATTTAAAAGGAATTCCCAATTCAGCAGTAGTACCATACAATCTTGTCTTTTTTTATTGTCAGTTGTCTATATATTAGAGTTAAAGTAGATTGCAGAAAACCTGGATTTTTTTTTTAGGTTTTGCAAGCAATTTGTGAAGGAAACTCTTCTATCTGGTCTTCATACTGAAATAAGAAAGTCAGAAGCCAAATGTACAAGTTCTGGAAATGAGCAGACATGAGCTTGCTAAATCATGGATTATAAATCCTGTAACTAAAACTTAGGAGGTGGTAAATCCCAAAGACTTAACATCAAAGCATTATGATTTCTACTTCCCAGATTTTGCTATTAGAAATTTTAATTTCTTTCCATTCTATCATTAGTTATCGGGATTCAAAGTGAGAGCCCCAGAACTTGGAAGCTTTGCTGATGTGATAGCAACTGCTTGTGATACTGACCGTTGAAGGAGGGTTTGAAGGAGGGTCACTGGACCCATAACGATAACTCTGCTTTCTCTCCGCAGATGCTGCCAGACCTGCTGAGTTTTCTCCAGCAATTTCTGTTGTTGCTTGTTATATTGGTAGTTTAGGAAATATATTTAATTTGCATGGTGTACATTTTGAGAAATGGTGTATTTGGTACGAGAAATATTAAATTAATATTCCACTGTGTTCTGAATTCAGCAGTGAGCCATAATAAAATGTAATGTTAGTGCACATTGCTCCCATCAGGCAATTCTTCTGTACTTTGCAAGAGAGTTAAAAATGTATTGGGAAGTCAGTTATCAAGACCAAAAACAAATGTAGCAAAATGTAAGATAACAAGGTGTAGAGCTGGATGAACACAGCAAGCCAAGCAGCATCAGAGGAGCAGGAAACCTGACGTTTCGAGCCTAGAGCCTTCTTCAGAAATGGGGGAGGGGAAGGGGGTTCTGAAATAAATAGGGAGAGAGGGGGAGGCAGATAGAAGATGGATAGAGGAGAAGATAGGTGCAGAGGAGACAGACAGGTCAAAGAGGGGGGGATGGAGCCAGTAAAGGTGAGTGTAGGTGGGGAGTTAGGGAGGAGATAGGTCAGTCCAGGGAGGACGGACAGGTCAAGGGGGCAGGATGAGGCTAGTAGGTAGGAGATGGGGGGGGGGCTAGAGGTTGGAGGAGGGGATAGGTGGGAGGAAGGACAGTTTAGGGAGGCAGGGACAAGCTGGGCTGGTTTTGGGATGCGGTAGGTGGAGGGAAGATTTTGAAGCTTGTGAAGTCCACATGGATACCATTGGGCTGCAGAGTTCCCAAGCAGAATATGAGTTGCTGTTCCTGCAACCTTCGGGTGGCATCGTTGTGGCACTGCAGGAGGCCCAGGATGGACATATCGTCTGAGGAATGGGAGAGGGAGTTGAAATGGTTTGCGACTGGGAGGTGCAGTTGTTTAGTGCGAACCGAGCGTAGGTGTTCTGCAAAGCGGTCCCCAAGCCTCCGCTTGGTTTCCCCGATGTAGGTGAGGCCACAACGGGTACAGCGGATACAGTATACCACATTAGCGGATGTGCAGGTGAACATCTGCTTGATGTGGAAAGTCTTCTTGGGGCCTGGGATGGGGGTGAGATGTAGGGGCAGGTGTAGCACTTCCTGCGGTTGCAGGGAAAAGTGCCAGGTGTGGTGGGGCTGGAGGCGAGTGTGGAGCGGACAAGGGAGTCACTGAGAGAGTGGTCCCTCCGGAAAGCAGATAAGGGTGGGGAGGCAAAAATGTCTTTGGTGGTGGGGTCGGATTGCAGATGGCGGAAGTGTCGGAGGATGATGCGTTGGATCCGGAGGTTGGTGGGGTGGTACGTGAGGACGAGAGGGATTCTGTTTTGGTTGTTATTGCGGGGAGGGGGTGTGAGGGATGAGTTGCGGGAAATGCGGGAGACACGGTCGAGGGCGTTCTCGACCACTGAGGGGAGGGATGTTGCGGTCCTTGAAAAACGAGGACATCTGAGATGTTCGGGAATGGAATGCCTCATCCTGGGAGCAGATGCGGCGGAGGCGAAGGAATTGGGAATAGGGGATGGCATTTTTGCAGGAAGGTGGGTGGGAGGAGGTGTATTCTAGGTAGCTGTGGGAGTTGGTGGGCTTGAAATGGATATCGGTTTCCAGAGATGGAAACAGAGAGGTCCAGGAAGGAGAGGGAGGTATTAGAGATGGTCCAGGTGAACTTAAGGTTGGGGTGGAAGGTGTTGGTGAAGTGGATGAACTGTTCAAGCTCCTCGTGGGAGCACGAGGCAGCGCCGATACATCATCAATGTAATGGAGGAAGAGGTGGGGTTTAGGGCCAGTGTAGCTACGGAAGAGGGATTGTTCCACGTAACCTACAAAGAGGCAGGCATAGCTTGGGCCCATGCGGGTACCCATGGCCACCTTCTTTGTCTGTAGGAAGTGGGAGGAATTGAAAGAGAAGTTGTTGAGGGTGGGGACAAGTTCGGCTAAGTGGATGAGGGTGTCATTGGAGGGGGACAGGTTGGGCCTGCGGGACAGGAAGAAGCGGAGCAAAATGTAGTTTTGGCTCAAAAGCTGAATTTGAAATGTTCTTCCCTCAACTGCTGAAAATATATCATCTGAAAATGCTACAGCTTTACAGAATTGAGCATGAGCTGCAGTGACCCTGGTCGTCCTGATACATGGGCAGCCATTAATAGATCAGAAAGGAAAATATAAATTGAGTGAAATTTTAAACAGAATTGCTTACAGTCATCAGAAGTATTGCTCATCTTCCTTTTGTGGAGTAATCAAAGCATATCTTTGTGTGAAAAGGCATGAGTCATACCAGTTGATAGATCACTACCAGCATTTTTTGATCATAGATTTTGTTCACACAATGGATTGATTCCTTGAATCCTAATGTTATTTTAAAGATAACATTTCCATTGTTTGTTCATAGAATAGTATATTTAACACCTCCTCACAGAAGTGCTTAAACTTAGGAATGATTGTTTTCACATAAAAGTGATAACAGATACATCGTTGCGATATTATGAATCATATCTGAATGTTATCAAAGAAACACATTGTAATTTCAATGGAGAAACTAGACTTTTGACTCAACTAGCCCATGATGACATTTGTCCTTCACGTCTCCAATTTAATCCTAATGTTAACTACCAAACCTAGAAATGAATTCCATAACAGCTCTCTATGAAGAGGTTTCTTCTACCTTCTGTTGCATTTCCATTTTCAGCTTGGCATGTTTAGCACTGGAGATACTTTTTTCCTTCTATCTACTCAAGCTCATTGTTTCATAATGTTTTAAAAATATCTTTTGTGTCCTATAATCTGCAGTCTTTTATTCCAGAAGATTTTTCTTTGTATGTGTATTTCTTCATATCAGGTACCTTCCTAGTGAAGCTGCATTGTGCTTTCTCTCAAAACACAAATTCCTTCTTTGTTTGCTGTACCTTTTTTCTTTATATAAACCAATTTTCTTTTCCAATGAATTCTGTGGTTTATTAAAATACTCTTCTCCAGAGTTTATTACATTGAATAATTATTGCTTTGAAATTTGAAAAAGCTATATTAAAATGTAAATAACAATGTAAATAGTGGTCTTTTAATAAGTAATGCCGTTAATTCAAATGATAAAACTTCACTTGAAAATTATATTTTAGATAAGTATTGACTAGACATTAATGTAACTCATACTTTATTTTTGCAGCTAACAAAAAATGGTACAGTAGAGTCTGAAGAAGCCAATACACTGACTTTAGATGATATTTCTGATGATGACATTGACCTAGATAATACAGAAGTGGATGATTACTTCTTCTTACAACCATTGCCGACCAAAAAGAGAAGGGCCTTATTACGGGCTTCTGGGGTTAAAAAGATTGATGGAGAGGAGAAACATGAACTCCGTGCAATTCGTGTATCCAGGGAGGATTGTGGCTGTGATTGTCGAATATATTGTGATCCTGAGCTTTGTGCTTGTAGTCAAGCAGGGATTAAATGCCAGGTAATTTGTGACATTTATATGAACCCTGGATTTAGTTTAGTTGCAAGTATATTTTTCTCATGTCTCATTTCTTGATATATTTTGTTATGATTCAACTTGAAAGAACTGGTGTTCTACCTCCTGTCCTGTCACAACATTTTTTTTTGTAATTTGCTGCAAAGAGAGGGGAGAAGATATATTTGTGTAATACCCGTGCTATCAACACGATTTGGCCTGAAGTTGTGAAATTACTCTAGGAACTACTTTTCATTAAACAAAATAGTGCAGAAATAATTGACACTGCTGCGTGAGCATATTTTTCAAATTAACTTTATATTTTTTGACCTAGGGTCATCTTGTGTTATGCATAACATTCTTTCTTAACCAATGTTGATTTGTAAATTTTCTGTTTTTGCCACTAATGTACAAAGAAAGATATTTGAATATTTATTTCATGGTGCAGTATTGTGTTCCATGTCAATAAATGATAACAGAAAAAAGTGTGACCTTTAAGCAAAATTTGGTACAGTTTATCAGATATCGACACACATTGGTATCCATAATCTCATATTCACCACATGCATTTGCTAGTGTAATAACTGGTCTGTGCATATTTCCTTTAGGTGGACCGTATGTCTTTCCCGTGTGGATGCACAAAAGAAGGCTGCAGCAATACTGCAGGCAGGATTGAGTTCAACCCCATCAGAGTACGGACACACTTTTTGCATACGATAATGAAGCTGGAGTTGGAGAAAAATCAACAGCAGCTTGGGATGGAGAATGGTTTCTCAGGAGACATGAATGCTCATGCCAATCATCTGCTACACAGCCAGCAGCCCCATGAATATTCTGTTGCAGATAGTTTTGACATTGAAAATGAACCTGAAACAGCAGTGATGCACCTTCAGTCAGCAGAAGAGTTGGACTGGCAAGGAGAAGATGACGAGGAGGAGGATGATGATGGGAGCAGTTTATGCAGTGGCATAACAGACTCGAGCGTGCAGAGCTTGGCAGCCAGTGAGTCAGATGAAGAGGCAGACAGCAAAGCTGAAAACTTTACTGAAGCATTGGCTGCCCCTGTTGTGACACAAACTGAGGCTATTCCACTTTCTTCTGTATTATGCTATGCTGATGGCACGTCTGCTCATGATAGCACAGCATCTGAGGATGCCTCTTATTTCTCTAATTCTTCAACACTGTATTATCAGATAGAAGGAAATACTGCAAATGCTACCACAACTGCTACTACCAGCACTACAACTGCTACTACAGATTGTGGCAATGAGCCTTTCTGTGTAGAAGCCACTTTAACATCAAACTACACAGAGAGGAGTCAGGAGAATGAAGCACTTTCTTTGGTGCCTTATGGCTCAGCTGCAGAGCAATACATTGACTACACACACCAACCAGAGGGAAGCTTTACCAGTCCTCACTATCCCATAACAACACCTTCTGTTATAGTTTGTTGTCCTTCAGCACATGAAAATAATACTCAGTGTAACAGCCTATATGCTGAGCAACGACCAAACCACACTCAAGCAGAGCTTCAAAGTTATTTAAATAACCATGTTCAAGATGACTTTGTTGCTACTTCAAATGGGGATGTTTATGCACCTAAGCAGGTACTGGAAAATACCATCATCCTCCCAGAGGGCAACGGACTGTTAGAAGAGACTATCAAAACATCAGTAGTGGAAACTGTATTTGTTTAGTGTGCTCAATCACTCCACTTTTTTGTTCTTTACTCCAGTTAACCAGTTATTCAGAATGGAAAGGAGTGTAACTTTAAATAGTTTACATGTTTTTAACAACCACCATCTTTAGATTAACTGGTCAGTAATGGTAGTTGATGCCACTAACATTCAATCCTTTAAAGACTGCAAGATATGATTGGAAGCAGACTTTATACAATTCTTAATCCACAGCTATGAAATACTGCAATGGATATTGTGTGATTTGGTATAAAGCCATCGTAGTCACTGATTAGTTATGACTTATGAAAGTATTTAACTGTTAAACAAGCATTACTGGTGAAGGATATCAACCCAGCCAGTTTGAAGAATCATATCACAAGCTTTGCTTTTGGCTTTTAATCTGCATCACATTCTCAAAAATTTAAATTAAGGTCCTAGTTTTCAACAAAACATGTGGATATAACTTACGTACTGTTATATGTGAAAATTATGGAACTAATTTTATTGTGTCATCTGTGAATTTATTTATACCAGTTAGTGTGCAATTATGTGAAGTACATGTTAATTATTCTTGTTGGTAGCTGTATACATGGGAGACTGATGAATCGATCCATGACCAGCGGCAAAAGATTTTGTTTTAAATGATATAGATCTTGTTTTTAATTAAGGTGACACTTTTTGAGCTTGATATAAGTGGGCAGTTCCTTTTTTACTGTGTTTTTATTCAGTTGTGAAACCAACATCTGATGTAAAACAGAAATCTGTGTGGATGTATCTTGCAGCTGTAAGAATTATCCTAGAACAGGTTGTTGTGTTTTGACCTATAGTACGTACAATTGAGCTGGTTCCATTGTAATGCATAAGGAATCCTCTACTGCTATTTTTCATCTGACTACATTGAATATATAGAAAAAAAAAGTCTACCATTTAAAAATATTCATACTTTCAACAACATGGAAATGGAGGGACTGAAAAGACAATCCACTTTTGTTACCACTAATATCTTAACGAAATACATATTCGTTCAATCAAGCAGACTGAAGTGAAATCTTTACTACAACAATTGTTGAGTTCTAAGTGCTGTGCATTTATCCAGTGAAAATTTAGTATTTTTTATAATATTTCTGTTTTGTCAGGCTACATTGTTGAGGACCTGAGTTTATTTTCTTTATTGAAACACTTGACTGTAGGATTTTATTTTTTGCTCACTTACTAATATCTTCTGACTATATGAAGCAGCCACAAACTGGAACAGTGCAGAGATTGAATTTGTCAATAGCATTCCTTCCAGCATGTAAAAGTCCAGAAGTGACTTTTAAAAGACATTCCAGGAAAATGTTACTTTGGTTTATTATCTCACATTAGAGTGTGGATGTGCTTCTGTACAGTGAAAAACGCTCAGACTACCATAGTAAAAATCATTAGTTATCAGAACCTCATTTAAACACTTCATTAAATAGTTTCTGATATCTTTTGACAGCAATCAGAGGGTGTAAGTTATGCTATATTATTTCCTGGTTGATTATTCACTTCATACAATGCATCTTACTTTACATTCTGCTCCTAGTCAGCAGTTATGTAAGTGATTAAATGTTTGAATTTCAGTTTTATAATTTAACAAATATAAAATTGAAAGGTTCTGAAAGTCTAAGTGCAATTTTATTTAAAAATAATGATTTGAAGCCTCACATTTCAAAAATTTGAGCAGGACACTGGACATTCTCTGCTAATTCATTGATATATCTTATGGTAATTATTACAGATTACATATTAAAACCCAGTGGCTTCATTTTGTGTGAATTTATACTGATCTACTTGAAATTTAAGGTGTGTCATGTAAATAGAATAAATATCTTAACTGCCCAATTGGACAGTATTTACTTGAGGCATGCAAAATGCTTGTGGAACAATGAAAGAAAGGCTCTGAAAACCAACTTCCCAACTAGACATCATTCACTCTACCTCCATCCAAAATAATGGTTCAGAACCGCAATCAGAGCAAATGACAGGTATGTCATTAATACATTAACATCCAACATACTCTTGTACCACATTTTGGTAGTACAGAGATAGCAGCTGGATTTCTCAAGAGTTTGTGAATTTAGGTTAATGTCTTCCAGCAGTTATCTTCATGTACTTCCTTGGTCAATGACACCATTGAGGAAATACTGTTTCAACAACACATTTGTTATTCTTCATGTAGGTACCTTCTATTACTGTATCTCCAACAAATCTTAACAAAAAAAAGGACAAAAGTTTAATTTTGCAGTATGATGGCATGTGTTGAAGTGAAAGGCCTGTGAATGATTCCATTTAATTCAAGAGACTTATTTTCCCCTGAAAAATACAGAAGAATCTGATTATATTGCCTTATAGCACTAAAGGTGAAATGATGCCTTTGGACATAACTTTTGTCTTGCCAGGGTTGCCATCTGACTCCTGACATACTCGCACTACGGCAAAGCAGTCACTGGGAAACCAAACCTCCCCACCCTTCCAGTTGGATTGCTATGCAATCATTTAATATGTGGATGGGCATTAATTCATTTGGGGCAAGATTTCCGCCCACACTGGGAGAGAAAGTCCTGTCTCTGAGATCTGCCAGTCAGTTCAATAACTATCATTCTCAGCAGTGCTATAAGGAGCAGTGGCCACTGCTGGGACCATGCATATGGGCTTACTGGAACTGTGTTTTATTTTTAAATAACCTTATTGAATATCATAAACCATTTGGATAATATTTGAGGCACTAGGCCTAAACAGGTATAGCATGTTAAGGCTGTTTATATATTGAGAAAATGCCATCAGGTAACAGACAAGATATTCAAGAAAGACATCTAATTTTTGATGATAGTACAAATAACATAGAGTTATGTAATCACTATAGCTCTTTTGTTCATTACCTTTCATAAAAAATTAGTTGTATAATAATTCATCCCGTAAGAAAATTGAGTAAACTGCTTGTCATGAACACAGTTAAAAGAAAGGGAAGGTTTGGTCCAAGTCTGTATTACAAATTTACATCAACAAGTACTTTTCAGATAGATTGTCATCAACTTTAAATTTTGAAAAGTACTTTAATACTTACCATCATTGAGAGAGGAATGGAAATACACACTGGAAGTTTCTCAACTCACGTTTTGACAGGTAATTCGTCTTATTCAGATCCTACCGTACAGGTAGTACTTTGCATTGCTATTTTTGAAAACTGTGGATATTGCAAGAATTTATACAGTCTACCTGTGACTCTAGTTGTGCCAAAAGAGGGTAGGCTATGAAGCCACACAATCTCAATAACTGAATTCAACCTGGGTCTTGTAATAAGACTTCTCACAGTAATGTATCCTTGGTAGTATTTATCTGTGCAGTATTTATTATGAATGATGATACAAACATTTGATGTATTTATTGTAGTTTGTTGCAACAGTGTATTACAAACTTCTTTCTCAAATTTTACTGTAATATCTTTTTGTTGCTAGTATATTAGTGCTAATTGTTAAGGCTGAAATGTATTATACAAGCTTTGGTTTTCTGATGTCTGCTTGTTTGTATTCCAGCTTTTGAGAGGTGCAGGTTTAACATTTGTCCAATTAACTTGCATCTTTGAGGTCTGTAAAACTGGACAATCTATTGTTACCGAAGTTCTTTGCCTTCTTTGCACATACAGTTGTTGCTTATAGATGGTCAGAATGTGAAAATTCTGTGTTTAATTATTCCACATTGCTGTAGAAATGAGGCCAAAATACAGTACTGATTGAATTTTCATTATTGCCAAGTAGTGCTGTCTTGCTTTTTTTTTCAATTTTCAGAAAGTCATTTGTAGACTGAAATGAGTCTAGTTGTTCATCTTAAACATTTCTAACACCAAACACACAAATATTATATTTGCATAAATGTTAAGATGTGCCGCAGAACAGCAATCAACTGTTTCACGGTAGTCTAATTAGATAAAGTTTGTATTGATTGAAAGAAAGCAATATTATTAGGTGCCTAAAACCATGCCTATTTGCCATATACTTCCAAACCTGTTCTGTGATGGGAATACATGATGAATGGTAGGACTGCATGGAAGGCAACAAGATAGATGGATAAAGTGGTTAAGAAGGCACATGAAATAGTTTTCTTTATTAGTTGAGGCATTGAATACAAGAGCAGGAAAATATGATGGAGCTGTATATAACATTAATTAGGGCATACCTGGAGTACTGTATGCAGTTCTGCACAAAAGGTGCAGAGGAAATTTACTAGGATGTTTCCTAGGCTGGAGTGTTCAGTTGCATTGAGAGACTAGATAAGCAGTATTGTTTTGCTTAGAGCAGAGAAGGCCGAGAGGATGCATGATTTTAGTGTACAAGATTATGAAGGGCATAGATAGGATAGTTAGGAATAAACTTTTCACTTTGTAGAAGGATCACTAATCAGTGGTCATAGATTTAAGATAAGGGGCAGGAGGTTCAGAAGGGATTTAGGGACGGTTTTTTCCTTTGTGGGTGTTTTTCTGGAAATCATTGCCTGAAGTTTTGGTAGAGGCTAGAGCAATTTGTAAATTTTGATAATGGTTTAGATGAGCACTTTAAATGCCATAGCATACAAGACTACGAACCAAATGCTCGAAAATGGGACTGGAGTAGATATGTGCTTGATGACCGCCATGAACAGGTTGGGCTGAACTATGATTCTGTTAAGGAGATCAATGGTTTTTGAATCTAGAATTAGCAATGGTCTAATTGTCTTGGTATCAATTACCATATAGCACAGAAACAGACCCTTCGGTTCAATCATTCCACGCCGACCATGTTCAAAACTACATGTAGCCCATATCCCTTCAAACCTTTCCTATTCATGTACTTATTGTGGAAGGAATTTCCAAACTCTAGCAATCCTTTGTGTATAGAAGCCTTCAGTACTAAAAGGCATTACTTTTACAATTTGTGTCTTTGTCCAATGGAAAGAGTTTCTCTATCAGTTCCTCTTAATTCTTGGAAACTTTGAACAAACCATCCATTGGCATTCTATATGCCAGTGAATGCAAACAGAAATTGTATAGCTCTCTATCAGTCTTTATTTTCTATACAGTACATTTTGATCATAATTGTCTTTTTTTTTTACCTAGAGCACATTCTTTGGACCTCCATTGTCTAACTTCCCATTGTTAAGAAAATAATCTGTTTGTTTTATGTTAAAAGTAAAGACTTAACAAATTGATGTCAATATTTTTATTCCTAACATGGTCCAAACATGAAGCATGTATTTCACTTCATATCTCATGGCTTTTTGAATCAGCACGGGGTGGGGTAGTTTTACAGTATGGCAAAAGACCCTTTGGCCCATCATGTTTACATCGGTCATGAAGCACATATCTACTCAAGTGTACAGGACAAAAATAAAACTAAATCCCCTGCTTCCATCTAAACAACTTGCAATACTACCTTTTTTTAATATTGTGGGCAAACTAGTATATGTGGCTCCCTATTCCATCATCTTAATTGTTAAAAGTAGTGAATAGTGAAACCATACAGTACCTTGTCAGGCTGGATTTTTGTCAGAGTCCAGCAGCCTTATTGACTGAAACAACAGTATTGTTGCTGGATCTGAGTCCGTAGGTGAGTACAGACAGCAGCAAAGGACAGAGTGGCTCTCAAAGGGAACCACCTTTCTGATACTGTGTACCTTGATCAGGCAAAGGCCTTCCAACAAGGAGCTCCATCCCCTCCAACACCATAGGACAATGGGAAATGGTAATCAACTCTACACAGGTTGGCTTGTCACTTGTCCTGCATGCTGCTGAGTAATACCTGTGGGAGTAGGATGAGGCCATTAAATGAGAATTAGGTATCTCCTATCAATTAATTACAGGATAGAATGGCTGAGCATAGGCCTTCCTGCAGCCATACTCCTGACTGAAATTGCTCTCGGTACCAAACTTGACTTGGGGCAGAACATAAGATTCTGCTCAAAATCTCTCATATTTTACTTCTGCAAAATACTGGTTTAATCTCAGCATTTACGTAAGCAACCACTACAGAAGTACTAGTGGCCAAAATATAGCTTGCACCACTGCCTCTGATCTTTTCCTACTTCTTTATTCTACGTATAAAATCTCTTATTCCTATTTATCTTTTCCTCTCTCTGAAGTAATTTCTTTTCCTTAAGCACAGACTACTTTTCCTCCCATGCCTCACATGTATCCTGATCCTTCCTGTGTACTTAAGAATTTGAGTATATTTAGTTCCAAGTGCTGCTATCTTGCAGCCATGTTAGTGAAGAATGCTAATTTGAACTGCACCACTGTCCTGCCCAAATGGTTTTCTCAAAGAGATCTTATTTCTAATTTAGTTGCTTTAATTTTACTTTTCTTAATTTTCCCTTCACCCTTGGCACCTAAAGCACAATTTCTATTACTCTATTCTCTATCCTCTTGATTTAGAATTATTTATACTACTTTTCAACTTGAGCCTGGCCACCCTCCTGGTTTTAAACTCTTTGCCAAGAGCTTGGTTCCATCCTAGTTTGGCAGAACCTGTTGTTAGGGTACATTTCCTTGATTCTACATACTGATGCCAAGTGGAATCCACTTATCCACCCCACTACTTAGTTGTGTGTTCAGTTGTATGTTAATAACTTTATTAGTTTGCACATGGTTTGGTAATAATCCAGATATAAAACTTTTGATGCTGATTTTTGCTATATTCTGGTACATTCTCAAACCTCATGCCTAGTCTTTTATGCTATTGGTCCCAACAAGGACCCACTCCCTCCATCTCCAGTATCCTTTCAAGCAAGTAACTTGGCAGCAGGTAAGCAACATTATATATAGAGCTGTTGATCTTTCAGGGGAAGTCAAATTAATGTGCATGTTAGAGAAGCAGAGAGAGGTAGTAAGGCAGAGAGGTTAAAGGACAGAATTGCAGAACTTAGGAGCTAGACAAGTGTAGTTTGGGCCTCCATGGCAATGTCTAACTTTGACGCATAATTTGGTGCCATGAATGAGACAGAAACCAGATTTGTGCCACATAAACAGAGCTGTAGAATTCATTGGCGCAGACTGACAACAATAATTGGGAATCAACAAAATATTCCATTGCTTTGCCAAGAAAAAATTGAAAATTGAATCTGTTTACTAAATACAGATCAACCAATCAGGGGACAATGTTGGTAGATTTGAAGAGAACATTATCAAGCATCAGAGTCAGGAAGAGGAGTTGGGACGGTCGGCAGATAATGGCAATAGGGTTAAGACAACAGAAAAGGGTCTCGAGGACAAGGAGAACCAGTAGATAGGAGAGAAAGTAGGAGAATATGCATGTTGCAGTGTGATGCAGTTGAGGCAACTGAATGGACAAGTCCATGAGCTTCTTAAACTTGGATATGGAGGGAGCAGGGGCGAGGGATTTACAGTTCAGTTAGTGGTGATGACAAGAATGGCAGGAATATTTTTGCATACCAAGATGGTCCTCGAGTCATGAGCATTTTTGATTGAAGGCAGCAAAGTCCAATACTACTTCACGTATACTAACTAGATCTGACAATATATAGTTAGACTAGATCTGTGTATCTTAATTTCATTAATGTGTAGTCTTTGATACAGTTGATATACTTTAGTTGCACAGTTCGAAGTATAGTTAGAGATTAGTATACACTGGACTGTGTGAATACATATTCATCTTAATTCAAAAATCCAATAAGAAATAACTTGAGACCCAATGGAGCAAAAATACACAGCTTTGAAAAGTGAACTTGTACTTTAAGGATGTTAAATTCCATATTTTAATGCCAAGTTCAGATCCAGGATTGGTCCAGTCAGGATTCAACTTAGTACAATCCTGTTCCCATGAAAAGCTGTTGTTCTCAACTGTGGTTTTCCTGCCATTATGACACCAGTTCTTGTGCAATTCTAACAGCAGAGGGAGCCTAGAGTCTGTGCACTGTGCTAATATAAATACTACTGCTGCTGCTACTACTCTGCACTTGCTTCACTCCAGCAGGCATTGCATCTTTTCAAATTTAATTAACTTTTTTGCAGATGAACTGCTTGATTATTATAGAGAGGTAAGAATTATATCTAATATTTAATGTGCAAATTTCTGGTTTTCACTAAAATATAGACAAGTGAAGTGCACAAAATTTACGCAAACAAGTTTTGATCATTGGAAAATTCACCCCTATTTAAATGTCAAAATAGATGGGAATTAGTAAACTTGGCCAAAAGTCTGCTCAAAATGCATATTTTGAACAATTGAATATCAAGCCTTTGAAACCAAAATGATAGAACCCCTACAATGTGGAAACAGGCCCTTCAGCCTGGCAAGTCCACACAGCATCCCACCCAGACCCATCCTCCTATAACCCACCTATCTACACATCCCTGAACACTACGGGCAATTTAGCACGGCCAATCCACCTAGCCTGCGCATCGTTGGACTGTGGGAGGAAACCCACACAGACACGGAGAACGTACAAACTCCACACAGACAGTCGCCCGAGGGTGGAATCGAATCCAGGTCCCTGGCGCTGTGAGGAAGCAGTACTAGCCACTGTGCTGCCTGAAGAGAAGAAAAATCACATTCAATAAAGTTTAGGGATTTTTTTTTTAAGGGTTTGATGTAGTAGAAGCAACTTAATGACGTGTGGCATTACTAACTAATTATAAAAAATAGACCTGGGGAAGAACATCTTTAGAAACTCAAAGGAAAATTTGAAGAGACCCAGGAAATCAAAGATTCTTTTAATTACTTCTTTCAACCTATGTAAGCTATTTTTAAAAA